CCCCAAAACCCCAAAACCCCAAAACCCCAAAACCCCAGCATATAAGGAGGTGGTGAAAAGTAATCAATAAGTTATATAAATTATTTTAAATGATCTCATTCTCAGATCCAATCGAGATTTCGAAGTTTACAATGGAAGAGGCCAATTACCTCGGAAACAATGTTTTTGCATGAGAAAACAAAGATCCATGCTCATTTGATTCCTTCCAAAGGTATAGAGGCATTCAGGAATACTCCTATTTTGATACTGAGCAAGACCTACCATCTAAATCTTCAACTTGCGAACCAAAGAGCCTCAAGAACTCTCAAGCCACAAGCAAGCAAAGATCCTCAGACTCCACTTCTGTGGGTTCTTTGCCTATTAAGTCCAGAAAAGGCCGCAAGCCTTGCTTGGTTGGCCTCTCCAAGAGAAACGATATCGTACTAAAGTCGCTGCTCAGGAAAGTAAGAAGGTTTCATTGGAACCAGTTCAAAAAGACGACTGGCTTCACCACCAAACACAAGGCCTCAGTTGCTGCCCAGAGAAAGCATCTAAAGCAGTATGTAGAACTAGAGTTCGGAATGGAGCCCAACCAACTATTTGTGGATACGCTTGACTCAGTACTATTCATGAAGGAGCCCAGGAACAAGACCAATAACATGTATCATAACTTGTTGTACAGTTACAGCAGTAGCAAGTTGCAGGCCTGAATGAAAAATTCGTACTTCAAGTGTCTGGTGTTACACTACTCATTTGAAGTGGATCCTATCAAAGTGGACAGAGATGCCAGAGAAGGCCTTGAGCTGATTCTTCGTTCATAACTGTAAACCAACATCTAGAAAGGTGAACATATTAAGATAAGTTAATAAAGTTCATAACATAATTGATTGACAAATAAATTAAAAAAAGTAAACACCATCTTTTTATAAAATATTTGGGCTTTAATCAGAATATATTCGAAGAGTACCATACTTAGCTTTAAAATGTGGTCGAATAAGTCTAGCTTAGGTATTTCCTCTATAAATTTTGCATGATACATGACTAATTATGGCAGTGTTTTTAGCCTTCGGAACAAGAATTTTACAGTCACTCATATTACATTCAAAAATTTAGCTGACTGAGTTATCAATAGCCAAGCGGTTGCCCAAAATTAACGTTCATTAAATTATTTGGGATAAAATACAAATAAAGAGCATGGTTTAAGTTCAATTATTTTTATATAATGTCGGTTTATTAGAACTCATGAGTTTGTTCTATTATTACCTAAAGAAATTATTCGAAATTATTTTGAGTAAAATCCTCCTATAATGAATCAGAGAGAAGGATCCTAAAAGAAAGGTATATATAGCCTAGCCTTTGAAAATTAAACTAGCGTCCAGGAATGTCCTATCGGATCCTATGGTCGTTGCCATTTTGCTCTATTTTGTACGATTTTTCAGAAAATCATAAAAATTTTATCCTAAATTAATCACGGTGGAAATACCCTACAATTGTCATCAAAAATTTATCAATACAAAGTGTTATAGTTGCCTATTTCTGAATTAAGTTAATACCAATGTTTCGAAACTAAAGACCTTTTGGCAAGGTTTGTATGCATATTCGATCAGTTGAAATATCTAGTCTCTGTAGTCACCGTTAACTAAGAGTGCCAATATAATACTTCTGATCTTCTTTGCTTAGATAACCATGCTTAATGATCAGCTTTTGATTATAACCCATCAGAAGAAATATATAAATAATTTTTCTATAAAATGTTTGTATAGTGAGGACTCAAGTTAGAAGCCAAGGTACTAAATTAAATAAAAATTGAACATTGAGGGGCTAGCCAAAACACTCTCTATTCTTTTTGGATGGCCCATTTTCAATCCGTGAACTCGACTAAGAATTTTCTCTGCATACCATAACAAGCTTAGTTGGAAATATTTTCAGAAATTTTTCAAAATATGTCTTCAAAGACTGCAAACCCAGAAAAAGAGACTATGTCTTTATATCTGCCTTTTGCCGATTGGGTGATAATGGGCATCCTAAAGGTTTTTTATTAAGTTCAAATAAAGAACTATTACTAAAGTTAACTCTCTTTATTCGAGATGTTAGTTGCACTAAAAGAAAGAGTCTCCAGAGTATTCTATAAATTCTCGCGACCAAATGGAGTATTTCTAGAAGTAAAAATTAGGTAAAATATATATTTAAAGCTGTCAGAGGGTTCAAGCAGACACAAATTCGGTCTTATAAGGGTAAACTAAAGCCTATTGATAGCATATAGCTTCACTGTTCGGGAACTATAAAAAATTAAGAATAGCATGGTGACTTCTTGCTGACTTCGAAGCAGCCAGCAATTACATTTCGCCAAAAAATTATGAAGAATTTTAATATTTTCCCAGTATTTATGGATAGTATGGAGTTTTGGGTTTGATACATTTTAGAAGAGGTTGATATTGGGAAGTTCGGGTTGATTTAAACACAAATAATCTGTATATCACTTCCGTATTCATACTAATAGCTCTATCTGATACAATAATGTTTACCCTCATATTTTTCATCCTTACCTCTTCAATCTCAAAATTTCCAATTTCTAAAGTCTCAATAACTTCAGTTACCCAGCCAACAATGGACACTAGAGGGCAGAGGTATCACCCCTTCTAAAGACACCGTATCCGTCATCTCTGTGTGTATTATTTTTCAACCCTTCTATTAAACCCTCAACACAGAAGCCTCATAATCTTTAAAATTCTCTTAGATCTCTTGGCTATAAATTTACCTCTGCTAGCTTCTAATGTTAAAAATTATTTGCTAAATATTTGCTGGCTCCGACTGCCAGCTGAGCTAGCTTAGAGGGGATACTTCATAAGTTAAGTCTTAATTGGGATTCTAAGAGTCTTCTTTGGTAGTGCCTAGGTCTTAATAATAGCCCACAGTGTATATTTGCTCTTGAGAATAGCCTGTTTTAGTCAATTTTAGACCTCTTGAGTGTTCGTTCCATGCCTATTTTACTTTAGTTTTTAGAAATAAAATAAGTTCGACAATTTTGAGAAAATTTTCATCAATTTTGAATGGCCCTGATGAACAAGGTGATGAGGGTTCTCTAATCAAGTCTATTAGACCTCTCAAGCTTAATTTTTAAATAAAGGATAACTGTAAATTTCAGTGACAAACATATCACTTCGTTAGGTTATCTAACCAAATGAATCAGCCAAGAGTTTACAAGTTTGAAATAGTCTTGAGACTTTAAACCAGGTGAAATTTCTACTGAAAGTTCTTGAAGGATGCTTTCTTTAAACTCATGGCTAAATGATATAGTTTCATATTTAAGGTGAACCTAAAAATATCTAGATTCGTTTGACTATCAGACCTTCTGAAATAGTTATGAATAATTTCTATCAGAATCGAATAAACCAGGTTATGGAATTATGATAATAATCATAAATTTCTGACTACGAAATAGTTTCCCCTAGTAGAGTCTCAGACTCATGTTTTTATTAAGAATATCTAGGTATCGTCAAAGAGTTTAGAGCAATAAGCAGTCTCATGGTATTATGAGAAAATCATATTTGGACCTCTCTTAGTTTGTAGACCCACTTACCGAAATAGAATTTTTGACAGCCCTGTCAACTCCCATGACAATTTTAATGAAGAAAATTCATAAAAATGATCAAGGTTCTCTATTTTTGTGTTTGATTCTGTAAAAGGACATGTCTAATATATAGCAAGAGGTTTTAATAATTGAGAATCTTAAGGATGCCAATTTGGCTTGCTAAGGGATTTTACCTTTATTGTTAAAGGTAATTTTTTACCTCTAATTTAAGAAAATGTGCATAATTATGATGGCCAATAAGATACAAAGCTAGCTATAACCTGCATATTCTCAAGGTAAAAAGTGAGAATGGTCCTCCAATATTCGTCAAAGATTAGACGTAAAAAGTCGTTCGCCAAAACTAAGATTGGAACCCTCTTTTGGAATTTCACCGTTTGTAAATTTTGAAAGAGTCTAAAAACATCCTGGCTTACTCTGTTAGAAATATATCTCCCTTATTAAAGTATTGGAGAGGTTTATTTAATTGTTAAACCAAGCACTATCATGATAAGGAACTTGACTTGAGTATGAACATAAAATACCACTTCAATTCTCGAGTATAAGCAAGGTTTTTATCATTATCATAACTACGTTATCAGAATTCCTATTCCACTGTTAAATAATCAAAAGAACACCCTCTAAATTTTTGATCGCACATCTCTTTTCCTAATAACCAATCTATCAATTTACCTATAAAAGCCTAAACCTAAAGCTCAAATCCCCCAAATACGCCCTACCATCACCTCTAACCCCCTCTCCTAACACACTCAGCCCTCTTCCCCTAACCTCTCTCCCTTCCTCCACCCCCAACCCCTCAACCCCCACTCACCCCCTCAAATCTTCAATTCAACATCTTTCCTCCACCACGGGGTTTTGGGGTTTTGGGGTTTTGGGGTTTTGGGG